TCTTTTTCCAAACAGGCCTGAGGCTTACTGTTCCCCTCTTTACGCTTATTGTGCTTACTGCATTTCATACATGTGATATACGTATATCCATAGTATAATTTTTGGATTCCCTGTCCGGGACTCACCATTATGATATTGGTGTAAATTCATTATTTAATATTATGGTATACCTATGGTATAATTTTTGGATACACCTCTTTAGGGAAGTGTTTACCTATGTGTTTGTACTACAGAGATATTAGACTCTTGCAGTCACTTTTTCTGTTGCACATACATTTAGACCGGTCTTGATGTCATTTTATATGGTTTTAGGTCTGTGTGTTATTGTCTCATACTGAGGTGATGGTAAACCAGGGCGAATGCCCATATGTCATATTTATATCTGTGTAATAAAGCATAATTTTTGGAAAATTTTCTGAGTGTCACGGTCTATTCATAATGTAGCCGCTTTTCTGTGAATCTCTTTTCACAAACCCCCCTTTTTTGAATGCCTTTTTTGGCTACTGAATGGAAACCAAACATTGGGTGACACGATAACTTAATTAACAACCTCTTAATAACTACCTATAATATAAAGGCAAGTAACTTACCCTGTAATTTCCTCGCTATTCTATGTTTGCTGTGTCTTTATATACATTTATATATATTTTTGTGACATCTTTGTAACTATTTATTTGCATCTGTTTGACTCTGTTAGAAATAAATCTTTCTTTCTGAAAGTGTTAAACTGTTTCTAAGCACTTACTTGCAATTCACAAATCCCTGCCTTTGAAGAGACGCTACGGTTTGTCATATCTCTGTATAGTAGGCCCGCGGGCCGTGCTATATAGATCAATATTTCAATCATTATAATGTATATTTGGTAACGGGAGTTTCCCAGTCTCCGACAAAAGTGGTGGTGGCAGTAGAGGGTTAGTTGCGTAACTAACCCGACCCAGTAACAAGCGCATTCAGGCTGCAGGCACCGATTGTAGTCCATTAGCTGGGCAATCGCTGTGTAGGGTGCAGCTGGGTGGGGCCTTGTTACGCGCGTCACACCGCGGTTTTGGATCGGCCAGCCCTTCGGTCACGAGTTTGGTGAGAAGGTCTGGGGTCTGACGCCATGGGCGTGACGTATTACTGTTAGTCGCGGCTGTGCGATTGTCGCCTGTTGGTGGCAGCGGCCGCGGGTCGTGACAACAGGGGAAATCATTTTTGAAGCTACTGTAAAGCATCATGATTGCAGCATGTAAACAAACTCATCCAGGCCGCCGTGGCAGCTTTAGAGGGGTAGTAAAACCACAACTGAATCGGTCATTTTCACCACTGCCTGTATGAACAAGCGCTTAGTGTGGTGTGGGGTAGAATTTAAGAAGACTGTTACTCTTACTTGAATCAGCATTTTAAATTCAGAAAAGAGAACCTTTCAATTAGCAGAATTTCTAGGGGAGAACTGTAATTTCATCCTAAACCTTTTCTTTACTTTTGCAGGAAGTGTGGCAGAACCTTCAGTTGTTTTTTTTTTTTTTATTATTGTTTGTCCTAGTAATGGTGGTTACTGGGTAATAAATAAAGTGAAAGCTTCCCAGTAGGCCCATAGGGGGACCTAGGAAACAATAAAACTCTGACATGGATTGTAAGCTTCCCTACGTTATCAAGTGCTGCTTTAAAGATAATCCAATCTAAATATCTAATAATATAACCAAATTAATTATATTTAATTAAGAATCTAATAATCTAACAAAAATTGGGAATATTGCGTCAAAGTGCATGTAAACCCCAACTTTGAACGTCTCTTATTTGCTCCCTTTTGGTCTGCTAAATACACCATTGGGAGCATTTTTGTTATATCTGTTTGATGAGGTGCAAGAAAAAGATGGTTGATCTTGTCAGAAATTTAGAGCTATCCTCTGAACACTTTCCATGTTATCTCAAAAAGGCTATTTAGCCCTCCTAGTTCTTATCATTTAATTACGAAATGATTAGTGGGAATGGTTGAGTAGTTTAGCAAAAGACAACAGCAGGGACTGACACCACTTAGTCCACAAAATTTCTGTGTGCTACTTACAGGACCCTTTAGAGGATAACACATTGGGAAAGTTGCATGAGATGAACTGCTCTTTTTATTAAAAAAAAACATTTGCAATCACTGTATAGAACAACTTAAAACTTTTACACCTTTCTCTTTCTAATGGGTAGATTGTTCCGTCCGCAGTCCGCCTCCGCAGTGTCATCTTCAACAAAACAGGGGAACTCCCTGTACATCATGAGAGATGAACTTGTTTCCTAGTTCATTAAATAGCAATGACATATTGCAGATCAGAAATGACCACACACAGCAACAGAAATTCAACTCGTTAAAGGTGTAGGTGTCAGATTAAAGCACGAGGGCATAAAATGTTGCTTTTCCTCAAAAGAATTGTGTTTTACTTATTTACTTTTTAACCACTTGCCCTCCAGAGAATTTACCCCCCTTCCTGACCAGGCCATTTTTTGCTTTACGGTGCTGCATTACTTTAAATGACAATTGCACGGTCATGCAACACTGCACCCAAATGAAATTTACGTCCTCCTTTTCCCACAAATAGAGCTTTCTTTAGGTGGTATTTGAGCACCTCTGCGGTTTTCATTTTTTGTGCTATAAACAAAAAAAGACTGACAATTTTGAGAAAAAAAAAACAATATTTTTGACTTTTTGCAATTAAACATGTCCAGTAAAAAAATTATAAAATTAAATTTTGGCATAAATTTAGGCCAAAATGTATTCTGCTACATGTCTCTGCTAAAAAAAAAAATCCCAATACGTATAAATTAATTGATTTCCGTGAAAATTATAGCATCTACAAATGGGGGTATATATACTGTAATATTTTCTTCACTAGTAATGGCGTTTTGACACTGGGGGAGAAGAGGCTAACATCTGGGGCAATCAAAGGGTTAACTGTGTGCTGTGTGTGTTTTTTACTGTGTGCTGTGTTTTACGCTATAAGCACATTGCTTTGTATGGCTCTGCTATGCAGAGCCATACAAAACAGTGTGCAGGAGCTGACAGGGGAGATATCTCTATTGTTTACATACAGGTCTCTCCCCCGTCAGTGATACTTGGTGATTTCTGGGTGTCGGTGGGGAATCACCAGCCACGACCCAGTGATCGACAGCCAAGGCACAGAGGTGGATCGTGCCACCCGGGTCTACATTTCCATCAGCATAAGCATGCAATAGTAGACATCAGTTAGTTTGTACAATGAATTAGCATATTACCAGTTACCAAAATCACCCATTTGCTCTTTAGAAATCCACAAAGAAAAAGACATGGGGCTATTCATGTTGACGAAGACACCATGGGGTGGGTAACCCAGCCTGAAAGAGAAGGAATAACGTACAGGAAGTTCAGTGGGGCAGGGATGGGGAAGAAGGGTAGGAGAAAAAAAAAGGGGAATGGGGGGAGTATCAGAGTGTAAGTTCCCGAAATTTTAGCAAATTGCTCTTTAAACTTAAATCCCTGCATCCTAGAACAGCCTTTATCAATCAGGGTGCCCAGGCACCCCGGGGTGCCTTGAGGTTTCTTCAGGGGTGCCTTGACAAAATGTCTAAAAATTGCCCAAAACTTGTATACAAGCCAGTAGGTGGAACAAGCCTGTCTTTTAGTTACACAAAGCCACAGGTTTTCATTGTGCACCATTATCACCTTCTAGCCACCGGCATCCTGGAAACCAATAACATCTTCAGTTGATAAGGAGGATGTCAGCTGCCTGCACGGCATCCTAGTTTGACCCTCCCCTGCCCCTCTCCATCAGTGCTGGGGTCACATTAGCTCAGTGATGGATACAAACTGAGGGAGAGGAGAAACACTGGAATACTAGTCAGTACCAGTGTGCAAAAGTGTATTTGCTTTTGAAGAATAAATCACCTCCAGTGTTGGGTGTCCTACATGTGTGGATGTTGCTGCGTTATATAAAACTATTAGAATAGTTTTTCACATTATAGAATGGGGCGCCCTTTTAAAATGATGGACAGTCTTGCGCACCCCATTTTAGAATGGGGTGCCTCAAGTCTATCCATAATTTTAAAGGGTACCTCAGGACTGTTCATAATTTTAAAGGGTGCCTTGACTGAAAAAAGTTTAAGAACCACTGTCCTAGAACATCCTTCTAGTTCTGGTTCAATCATTCAGGATTAGTACACATCGCCTAGTAAAGCAGAATTTAATGTAATAACACAGAACAGCAGCAAGATGAAAAGACATGTTAATTAGGAAGCAGTGATAAACTTTCAGCCCTGGAACCCTCTTTGGCATTCATATCTCAGTAAAATACATGCACACAAAAATTCCCTATCCAGGTAGTTGCATTTATATTCATGTACTAATCTGATTTAGATAACAAAATAAAGTTTAAATTAAATTATGGCGGCGGAGAATCAAAAGGTCGTTTGGCGGCACACACCTCTGATATGGTGTGTGTGCGACTTGCAGCAAAAACCTAATACAAACCAAGTGTAATGGGAAATGTGTAATTTGTGCATGTCAATTCATGTCGTGCTCCATAATAATCCTACCAATTATACATCTCAGTTTTTACTTTTTTTGTCTGTTAACATTCTATAACACATCAAATACTGACTAATTAGCACCTGGAAAAAGAACATTGGGAGTCTCTTAGATGAAGATGTAGTGTAGATCATCACGCCAGCTGGATGACAATGATTTTTCTAAAGTACTGTTTATTATAAAAAAAAATGCTATTTTCTTTATAAAATACTCACCTTCATCCTTTTTTCTTTGATTTTCAGTTTAGCACAGCTGATCTCCTTGAATACACTTTTGTTACTAAACCCACAACAGTAAAATCTGTCTGTTTATGCACTAAAGCATGCTTGTTATACTCACTGTGGAATCTAAGGGGTTAATCCTCTGCATTGTGTAAAAAGGATGTTTGATCCTGTCTTCTCTGATCCTCTCCTTCTTCCACAGTCCCCAATCCATCTACTGATAGTACAGAGCCCTAGGAGACACTCTGCACATGCTCTGTTTGGCGTGTATTGCTAGCGATTTTTTTTTTTGGGAGGGTGTAGGTGATTGGCACAGGGCCAATCAGCACTGTCCAGACAGAGGGTCAAGGGTTACGCAGCCTCATAGGACAGTCAAAGCAGCATGAAAACTCCTCCTAAAAGCTTTAACCAGTACTCAGTCGGACATTGATAGAAGTCACAAGACTGCTATATATTGCTGAAGAGAACAGGTATTTATTAGTTTATATTTACAAAAATAATTGAATTTCAATGTTCTGTGTATTGTGGGAGGCCAGATATAGTGAAAGTAGGGTCCTGGGTTGAATAACACTTTAAGTACACTAATAAATTGTAGCCAAACTGCAGCTCACACTTTAAAAGCAGTTACAGCAAACAGTTTCTTTCTTTTGGGATAAAGGTTTTACATGAATAAATAAAAGCTGAACAATGTATGCACCCTTGTCAGTGGTAAATGGGTTGTCACAACAATCTAAACTGCTATGTTTGGAGGACAGCTTGTTCTGTTGAAAACAGGCTTACTGGTTGGATCACCAGTTGAAAATAAGGGAAAGAAAGCCTAAAATTTAGAACTAATGCAGCCACCACAAATAAGAGTTGTTAAGCTGAAATGTAATAAATGTTTGCTTTTTGGGTTTAATACTGCTTTAACCTTCTATAGTATTTCCTCTGCTGCTTTCTCATCGCTGGATAGAAAGTCATAGCTTGGTCAGCTTTGTCGACACCTCCCATGGTGCTGTTGTAGTCAATGACAACCTGCGGCTTCTGGATGTTTTTCCCACCTTTTGTTTGTACCATCACTGTGGAGGCATTGTGAATGGTACTCATTAGGCACACATCCTTCTTGTCCCGCCATCTCAGTGCCATCATTTTGCCTTTCTGCCAGGCAACTAATTCTCCCGACTTCAGTTTGTTTTTTGCAAACATTGATGGCAGGTTGCGCCGGTTAGCCCGAATGGTTCCATATGCATCCATTTTGTGCTGAAGAAGAACCTAGTAAGGTTCTAGAGATGTGTAGAAATTGTCCGTCGCTACACAGTAGCCTTGGTTTAGCAAGACGTTGCCATTGCGTAGTTGCTGTACTTGGGATCAAATTTTGCGCCTTTTCCGGTGTATATGACTGTGTTCCAGATGTAGCCGGTACAGGATTTGTACAGTAGGTAGGATTTAACGCCAAATCGTGCTCTCTTGGATGCGATGTACTGTATCCAGCTGAGCCTTCCTTTGTAGGCCATTAGACTTTCTATACTAATGTCTCTCTCTGGCACATAGCTCTGCTGGAAATTTCTTACAATTATTTGGGAGACTTCCCAATTTTTTTTTTAGCCTGGGAGCCAGATGAGTCAATTCATTAAAATCCTCATTATTTGCGAAGTGCAAAAATTTCATAATAAGGGAAAAGCTGTACTCCGACATGACTGTGCCAAAGAACGGCATGGCAAGCATTTTTTTTTCTTGGTGGTCCAGTACCACTTCTGCAGTGGTTTCCCCACCATTCCTTGCAGAATAATTAGACCGAGAAACAGCCAAATGGCCTCTTTGGTGACAGGTTCCCACTTTCTGCTTCGTGAAAACTGGTTGTGTGGAGCAGCTAGTTGTTGCGCTGCGTACCTATTTGTCTCCATCACGATAATTTTAATAACCTCATCGGTCAGAAACAATTCCAAGTACACCAAGGGGCTGTCACCTTCAACGTGGATTTTCATACCAGGTGCGCCGGTAAACGGAAATCTTGGCGGCGCTGGCGTATCACAATCAATAGTGCACCATGTGCGCAGATCACGTCAATCTCAGATTCGCTGCTGTCTTCACTTTCGGTGTCTGAAGACAAATTGCCACATGATTTGCTGTCGCTCAATTCAAGTAGCTCCTCACTGTCGCTGTTTGCTAGCTCATCATAAACTGCTTTGGCGCTAGCGATGCACTTTTTGGCAGCCATGAGCACAAAAAACGTTTTTAGTCACAGACAGAAACTGAAAAACTGCACTATGGAAATATCTGAGGCACAATTACAAGTTACAATGTATGCACTAGAGTAACACTTTATTTTGACACTGATTTAATTTTATAATTCCTGACTCCCGCAAGCCCCGCCCCCCGATGGCACAGTACGGCAGACTCATGCTGATCACACTGATCACACTGATCAGCATGACATACCAGGGAAGCAGAAGGAGACAAGGAACGGACAGAGGGGATGGCTGCTGGCAACTCAGGACCCAGGACACGGATCGGGACCAGGTACTTAGTTTGCGGTGACCCCAAGTCTGGCTCGGGGTTACCACTTTTGACAGCTAGATTTAACCCCGAGCCAGACTCGGGAAAACTGCTAGAGAGGTTAAATAACTTTTGAAAGTAGATTAACATGGTAAAGTGTTTATGAGAGTATAGTTATTGGGTTTAGCTCTACTTGAAGACGTATTCCAGGCAATAATTGCCAGTGATTGCAGTCCAGAGAACACTGCAACCAGCAGAAAATTCTATTTACTTTTAATGGGATTTTATCAAAAAGCAATGTGTCAGATTTTGTATGTCTTTCACAAGGCATATGGGTGGGTTTGCTGCTTCGTGTTATATAATTCTTTACTGTGAGACCTATGCTGTGCTCACATTCTAGTGCTCTGAGAGAAAGGATGTTCAGATCATGGCTGGTGCTTCCACTAGGCAAACTAGACTACCTAGGGCGGTGCAGTGCCCAGGCCAGCACTTTCTCTGTGTGGGACACCGCCACTTCACGAATGATCCTTCAGCTGAGAAGAGGGGCAGTAGAGGGGAGGAAGAGAGGGCAGAGGAAGATGCCGGGTGTCTGGGGCCAGTGTTGCGGCTGAGCTGCTGCTCCTTCCAGTGTTCCTCTCAGATGTAGTCCTTTACTGCAAGCCGGCTGACAGCTGCTGATCACTGTGGAGTTCCAGCCATTCTCTTCCCAATCATCAGCTGAGGCGGATCTGCACCTGCAGAGGAGGGTACTGTCTGATTCTGATCTCTCATGTCTGTGGGATTGTGACCCGGCCAGCCATCCATCACATGTTCAATGTGTCAATAAGTGATGACATCATCATGATCCCACAGCCTGCTCTTCTAGTGCCTGCTGATCTGTGTCAGTGTTGGCTGTGGTGTGTTGTGTCGGATCTGTCACTGTGTGGGATCGCTTAGTTCAGATGTTCTGTGTGTGTGTGTGCAGGTTGGCTGTATGAGGCCCCGTGGTTTCTAACAGCAGCCCTGCATCCACTGGGAAGTTCAGTGTGCTGCTGTTTCTCCAGCTCTTATGCAGCAGAAAAAAGAGGGTATGTGATTACTTTTAAAAAAGGGGAAAACACTGTCTATATTTTTTTTTTATATATTTCTTGTTTTAAACAGAATAGGTTGTTTTGCAAGGTAAGGGTTTACATATACTTTATATAAAAAATATTCTGACATTAACCACAAGTCTAAAACTATATTTCTCAACATGCAATACATGAAGATGGCAAAGATCAAATTTCAAGCTTCCAATATACTCACATCAGAGAAAGAGGAATGGAAAACATACAATATAACAATGGGAGTTGAATCTTTCTGTTTTTTTGCACAGGTGTCAGGGATAAACAAATATATATTACAATAAATTCTAAAATGTCAAATCAACAGTGTACTTGTCCGGTGTAATAATATGAGATATTCAGGGTGTCAAACAATTGTAGTTAGTTGATCAGTAAGACTCTAAATATTGTGATCATTTTACATTTGTAGGTAACACCATTCATTCTCCAGCCACACATACACAATGATCTGGTTTAATTAAAAGTAACAATATAACAGTAATTTCAGTTGATTATCCTTCTTTTGGTTGCAAGCTGTCAGTTTCACTCTTTAACCCCTTCACAGCTAAGGGTAAAACAAATCTTAATGCCTAAGTAAAATTTTGCAACATGTGTTATTTGACATGTGTTATTAAAACTGTACATATCATCACAACTACTTTGTACATCGAGGTGAATGATAGCTTGTTTTTTTATATTTAGTAATGGATATCTCCTGATTTTTTTTTATTATCCATGAAAACTGGCCCAAAGTAGTAAAAAATTTTGTTTTTTAAATTTAGCTGTGTGTTTCTTGTTACTACCATAACCTACCACCAAAAAAACAACCCAAAATAAATTCTCTAACTCCTGATGATCGCAGCAATACCACATATGTGTATGTTAGTTGTTTTTTGTACCAATAGTACAGCCCAGAAACAATAATGCCCATTTTGTTTTGTTTTTCCCGCCTAAAACACTGACACGGATACTATTTTTTAAAATTTAAATATCCTGACCTTTAACCCTGGCCTTGACCTTTGACCCTGACCTTAACCTAAAAACTAACCTTGGCACTGACCTAGATCAAACCTTGATCTAGGTATTTTTTTCTTTTTTTAATATTTCTTTTTCTATCTTTTTTTTTACACACTGTTGTTTTTTATCTCTCCAAGGAGAGAGAGAGAGAGAGAGAGAGAGAGAGAGAGAGAGAGAGAGAGATGCAGTGTATCTCTCTCCTCCATTCAGAGAGAAAGAAAACACAGGTACAGGCTTCACAGTGACCGTTCACTGTGATAGCCAAACGGAAGCTATCACAGGGGTTAGGTGACCCGGAATCAGGAGTTACGGGTCCCGATCGTTAGTACGGGACTTGGAGCTCTCGGTGACACCCCAGTCTTTGTGCTGGGAGCATGCCATGTGGTGCGCTCCCATCACAAAGACAGATATGCAACTATGTGGCCCCATGGTAAAAAAAGGCAAGTTCTGTGAGGCTGCATATTTGTGTGACATTAAGGGGTTAAAAGACATGAATATAAGTCTCTGATACTAGTAGACAAGGCACAATAAGAAGGCAGAGACATTTCCTGTTCTGTATATCATCATTGTGTTGAGTAGGGATCCATCTAGTGAGTGTTCACTGCAACTTCACCTGTTTCTATTATTCCTTTCATCAAGAATAGGGAGTGTATTGCTAATAAAGATTTTCCATTTGCCACTGCAGCCATTTTAGCTTCCTGAAGAACACTCCAGGTCTCCTCCATTCTCCCTTTGATACACATATGCCTGTAAGTGAATTCATTGTGTTTGTTAAAGTTTTTAGATCCAGATCACATTTAAATGTATTTAATATGATTTGTAGGTAGCTGTTTGCAGGAAATGTATTTATTGTATGCATACGTGAGAGACGTGTCTACAAGCATGTTGTAACTTCAGTTTATGTGATTTTATTGCAGTTTTACAGACGTATTCACAAAAGTACATTCAGCTTTGGAATGAAAAACAATGCTGCTTCTGTCA